GGCGATTATGTATCTATCGATACATGACTGATGAGGCAGATTTTTTTCCTGCAGTAGGTTGCCATTTCTTTCTGTGGTAGACCAGTTGCCATCCAAGGCTATAGAACCTGGTCTGTCCTACTATTTACCCATAGCTGGGGGGAGAAGAAAAGGATTCATACCTTTACCAATGGTATTAGCACATAAGAGAATGTAATGGATTCAACTGGAATTCGAACTTGGCTCCTCGATTCCTCAATCCAAACTGCTATCCATTATGCCACCTTTTTTAATCAAAGCAAAACACTTTGATGGGGAAAACTCTCTTTTATTGAAAACAGGGTTAATAGTTCACTGAAAGTTTTTCACATGCAAAATTTTATTCAAAAGGTATTGAAACAATGCCTGATATGTAGCAACTAGTCATTACAAATAATGATGAATATATAACTGAATACAATTGAACTCTATTTTTTATAAGAATAAAGTAGATAAGTAAAAAAAGGAAATTATTTATAACTCTTCCTAATACAAACATTTACAATAAATAAATTTAATCCAATAGATTAGAAATAGTTAATGGTGGTTGAATGGAAGTTAAATTTCCTTACAAGAGTTCTACTAAAAAAAACTTTGAAAAGCCCTGATCAAGTGTACAAAGATTATTGAAAGGTATGTCAAAATACATGTTTTTCTGTTGCTTGTCTCCTGAGCATGCCAATCTTCAAAGATGACATTTAAAAAAAAAAAAGAATTACTCCCCTTTCTTGATCAGCCAAATAAATCTTGATTGAACCCAGGCTGTCATTTTTACAGAAGGTCATGGTTATATTTGATTTTCAGAATTTTAATCTTTGTATTTCTTTCTAGAAGTTCGACATTAGAAATTAGTCAAACACTGATCATTTCGCCTTTAGAGAAGTGAATGCTAATTAAGTTCTTAGTGCATGTACTAAGTAAAGTTTAGATTTATTTATGTTTTTTGTTCATCAGTCAGTTGGTTTTATATCTTATCAGTTTAATTATTTACCCTATTTACATTGTTTGGACTGTTGTACTCATCTTTATTGTCATATTCACAATGTTTCGGGTATTGTACGTTCTGGCCATCTTCATGTGATATACATTGGAATTTTTAATTTTTAACGTATATCACCTGAAGAAGGCCAGAGTGTACAATAGCCGAAATGTTGTGAATATGACAATAAAAATGAGGACAGCAGTTTGAACAATGTCAGTCAGTTATGTGCCATGCGTAATACATGCTTAGGCGATCATGTATCTTTCGATACATGACTGACGAGGCAGATATTTTTCCCCGCAGTAGTTGCCATTTCTTTCTGCGGTAGATCAGTTGCCATCCAAAGCTATAGAATCTGGTCTGTTCTGCTATTTACCCATAGCTGGGGGGAGAAGAAGAGGATTCATACTTTTTTCAATTATATTAGTACATAAGTGAATGCAATGGATTTGACTGGAATTCGGCTCTTCCGATTCCTCAATCCGAGCTGAAATAGCTATAATACCACATCTCAGATATATAGTAATTATTTTTATTATTATTATTTTGGAGTTCACATATTTACATGTTTAGGGAGAGGTAAATATTATGATTTATATTTGAGTCTATAAGCATTTACTTTGTTTTAGGATAGGTAAATATTGGACACTGAGAACGGAACACAGAACAGACTAGCAAAAGAAGATGAGACAGATGTTAAGAAACAAAAATTTCATTAAAAAAAGATCACTATCCACTTATACAGCAGTAAATTCTAGATAATCTCCTCATGGACAAGGAAAAACCTAAAGCTTGCAGTGGTTCTACAGAAGGATGCTGAGAATTCCATGGATGGAACGAGTAAGCAACAATGAAAATGAAGTCTTAAAGAAAATGGCAGCAGAAGGAACACTTCAAGAAAAGAGAGCTGAAATTCCTGAAAAAGAGGGAGGTTTGGTAAACACAGGGTATATTGATGGCAAGAGAAATAAGGGAAGACAGCAAACCTGGCAAGATTTTGTGAACGGATGATGAAATTGGGGGGGAACATTAGCAAAAGGAGAAAAACTGCCTACAGCCACAAGGGATAGGAAATTGTGGGAAGCCATGATAGCCAATTCACTGAAGAGATGCAGGATAAAGATGACAAAGACAAAATGCAAAAGCGGAAAAACTTCTGTGGCTAGAACACATGTATATGAAATTTATTTTTCTGTACAGGAAAAGCACACATAACACATTTTTCCAAGTAGTAAAAAAAAAAAGGATTTAAATATTTCATCTATTAAGAAGGCTTTGAGCATAAAACAAACCTCACCTCTGTGATCAAGACTAGACCCGTAAACAAAGCAGAATATGACAACTCAGTGAAAGAAAATGTTTAAACCCCCAAACTGGTTACTTCTGTATTCTGTTTGACTTTAGATACCATGTGTATCTGAGTTTTACCACCTCCATCTCCCCCTCCAATGGTATTCTCTATTGAACTTTATCTTTCTTTTTAGTGAATTTTTGAAACAAAAATATTTTAGTCTGTTTGCCACAAACACTTGAAAAAGAATATTTCTGTTCAGTTAACTCTAAAAGAATAGAATTTTTATTCTTGGCAATGAATTATATAAAGGAAAATGTTTTTTGCACATGAAGTGCATTACGCTCAAAATTTTGTATATTTTATTTTGAATTTATGATTATTTATTTGAAAATATAAAATGAAAAACATATTTTATTCATCATTTCACCCTAAGCAAGACAATAAAGCCACTAAGATGCTGTTATGGAGTGGTTTCACAGTGGAGGCTTGTATTTGTACTAAGTCGGTCCTAAAATAGGTTCGACGTACAAAACGTTAGGAACTTGATATAATAGGTAATGACGCAGAGTAATCTAGTTGCGGTCGCTGATACTTTAGTATCCGACTACTTATTATAGGTGGGAGAGTCTATTAACTATAGAATAGGTGTGTTCCACTATAACTGATGCAAGGGATTACAAGGTGTGAAACAATAAGAGAAAAAAATCATTAACGAGTGAGAAAAATAAAAGAACAGGAATTAAGAAGATAGAAGATATAGGAACATTGTTGTTATTATTATAAATAAAAATAAAATATAAAATAATAATGAAAATTATAAATAAAATAAAATTTAAACCTCGTTTAAAATAAATAAAATATAAAAATAATAAAATTACTCCTATCATGCAACAGGAACTGTTCCTGCCAGGAGTACAGATATCCTATCAAAAGACGCAGGATTCGCTTTCTTCAAGAACTGTCGGGATGACAACACGTGTGTAACTTCTCTCTGTGAAAAGACTTGTGATATTATAGATTGACTTAGAATGCATGTTTGTTAGGAAAAGGAAGATCCCAACATGCAAAATTATAAAATGGAGATACCAAAATCGAACAAGTACAAAAATTTAATTATCTGGGTAATGTTTTAACAGAGAATGGAAAGTGTGACACTGAAATCTGACGGCACATTGGGATAGGCAAAGATGCTTTTCAAAAGATAAGCAGAGTATTAAGAGACAGAAAACTTTGTTAACAACAAAGAAAAGAGTATTGAACTGTTATGTAATATCAGTCATCCTATTTGGCAGTGAATGCTGAACAATCTCCTCACAGATGAAGAAGATACTTGAAGGAACAGAAGTATCCTCAGCATCCTTCTGTAGAAGGATGCTGAGGATAACATGGATTGAATATGTAACCAACAGCAAAGTTTTATAGAAAATGGAAGTAAAAAAGGTGCTTATATTTAACATCAGAAAGAAATTTCATAATGAAGAAAGAGGGCTTGGAAAATTTGATACACACATGACAGATTGAAGGCAAGAGGGAGAGAGGAAAACAATGCATAACCTACTTAGAGTGCTGGAGGGAAGAAGAGGGTTTAAGAGAGATAGCAAAAAGACAAAATTTATTAAGAGCTACAAAGGATAAGAAATTGTGAAGAGCCATCATCACTAAGGTCCTGAAAGAAAATGCCATATAGATGACAAATAATAACAATAATAATATCATCAAAGATATATTAATATCTATAATAGGGTATGTGAAAATATTTTCTCTTTGCAAGCACCTCCATTATTTTGAATATGTGACATTTATTTGTATTGGGGACAACCAAGTCATTTATAATGCGTCTGTACTGATAATTGAATTAAGTTTTGAAATTGGTTCCTTCCATCATTAACGGCTTTGTCAGACTTTTGCACCTCTATCTTTAAGAGGATCTGTACACAATATTTTGGCAGGTGATTAGTGAGACGCCTTCAATTAAATTTTTCATGAATTGGTTTGTATACTAGAACAATGGTGATGTGTTTACCAATGCTGAATTTTTAAGAATGCCTTGGAAAGTGGAGTTAATGAAAAAAAAAAATCTATATAAGGAGTAAGGGAAGAGAAAGAAAATGAGAAACTATCATGGAGAGAGAGAGAGGAGTGATAGCAGAAACTCCACACAATATATATATATATATATATATATATAAATATATATATATATATATATATATATAAATGACAATAGGAAAACTGTAATAGTTGCCGACGCGTTTTGTCCAATGTGGACTTTCTCAAAGCAAAAAACAAAATGAATTTATTTAAACAAAGTAACTAATAATTTCAAAACAAAATGTCCTTTGCAACTGGAAGAATTTAGATTTGTTAACTGAAAATTACGACAATTACTGTCATGTGCAGAGATATTGTTATTATTGCTGTGTTGACGGATTCAACCATTTTCTTTTGATTTTACGATATTGTTGTGCACATTTGTTTGGGAGAGCAGTAATTTTGTTAATTTAGTTTCCCTATTGTCATTTATATTTATAAATATTGTCTTTCCTACAGGTTAACTCTGAGAAATTTTCATATATATATATATATATATGTATACATGTAGAGAGAGAGAGAGAGAGATATGTATAACTGTAGGGAGAAAAAGAGAGAGAGAGAGAGTGAGGAGAAAACAAAAACAGAAAACTAGAGAAAATGTGGTGGTAGAAGTTAAAGAGTCAGAGTATAACAAAAGAGAGGATATTGTGAGGGAGAAAACGGACGAAGTTGAAGAAACAGAGAGAGCAAAAACATGTGGAGAGAAAACTGAGAGAGAGAAAGAGAGAGAGAGAGGATGGGATAATGGAAATCTGAAGTGAGAAAGAGAAATCTGTCAGGCCAAATAAAAGTCGTATAGAGAGACAATAAGAAAGTGCAGCAGTAGAGAAGGAAGGAAACAGAGGGAGAGTTCAGAACAGAAAGACAGGGATAGAGAGAGAAAGTGGTAGGAAAGAAACAGAGAGAGAGAGGGAGGTGAGGGACAAAATTGCAAGGAGAAAATGACCTTGTGAGAAAGAAAAAGACAGAGGGAGAAAGAAAGGTGATAAGAAATACAGACAAAAAATGAGAAGAAAGCAGAGTGAGATGAGAACAGAAAGTTACAGAAAGAGAAAGAAAGTGGTGGTGAAAAAGCAGAGAGAGAAATGGAGGAAAGGTTGTGGAGCAGATACTAATCAAGACAGAGGAAGAGAGATAAGAACAAAAGAGAAAGAGGATAGGAAAAGAGAGAGGAAAACAAATGAGAGAGGAAAACAAATGAGAGAGAAAAGTGGGGAAGATAAGAGAAAGGAGATAATACAGAGAGTGTGTGTGTGTGTGTAGAGATGGAAATAAAAAGAGATGAATTTCTTTTGCTTTTGATTTTTACTGTTATTTAATATATTGGATTGTGAGCATATTAACACTTCTTTGGAAATAACAATGATTTTTCCATATAAAGTCCTACTATTTAACCCATAGCTGGGAGGAGAAGAAACAGGTTTCTACCTTTATCAAAGGTATTTACAGGTAAATGAATCTAATAAATGACTGAAATTTGAACACAGCCCTCCAATTTCTCCAATAGTGGAGTAGTTTCCCATTGCTTTCTTTCTATCAGTCAGTTAAGTGCAATATGTGATACATGCTTGGGCAATCATGTCTCTTTTGATACATGACTGACTAAGCAGAGATTTTCCCACAGTAGGTTGCCATTTCTTTCTGCAGTAGACTAGTTACCAACCAAGGCTATAAAATCCAGTCTGTCCTGTTATTCAATCCATAGCTGGAGGTAGAAGAGATGGATTCATACCTTTCCCATTTCTGCATAAGTAAATGCAATGAACTTGACTGGAATTCAAACTCGGCTCTCTGATTTCTCATTCAGAGCTCGTGTCCATTACACCACCTGCACATATTTATTACTTTGTCTTAATTAATTAAGGTATGCGTGGAGCCATGATTCAACACATTTAGAAAGCAAATGATTTGTATGCATAATAATCGCATTCAATGAAGGAAAGTAATACATATCTGAATAAAATGAGTTTCTGAAACATTCATTTGATGAAGTGATATGCTTGTTCAGCTGGCATTAACCCAATTGAATATTGTAAATAATTTGGAAGAGGAATGCAACATATATTACACATTAATGTTGTATTTATTCAGTCATTCAGTTATGCTTCATACCTGATACATGCTTGGGCAATCATATTTCTTTTGATACATAACTAACAAGGCAGATTTTTTCCTGCAGTAGGTTGCCATTTCTTTCTGCGGTAGACTGGTTGCCAACCAAGGCTAAAGAACCCAGTCTGTCCTGCTATTCAACCCATAGCTAGGGAGAGAAGAGATGGATTCATACCTTTCCCAAGGGTAATATGTGCATAAGTGAATCTAGCAGCCTGGAATTTGAACGGCTCTCTGATTTCTCACTCCAAGCTGATATCCATTACACCACAACACACATTACCTTCTATATGGTTTTGAATTAATTATTCTATGGGTTAAATAGTAGAGCCAAATTAAGTGGTTTTATGCTTTTTGATAAAAATATCTAATAAACATACCAGTAAAAACATTCCATGAAATAATCCAGTCTGTTCTAATATTTAACCCATAGAGGAGAAAAAGTGATGGTTTCATACCTTTCCTAAGAGCATTTTTGTGTAAACGAATGGAATTACTTGACTGGAATTATAACTTGGCATTCTGATTTCTCATTCTGAGTCACTATCCATTACATTACCTGCATACACACAAGAGAGATGAGAATGGTAAATATTAAGGCATTTCCCTACAAAGAAACATTTGGTATTCATTGACTGAGCAGCCAGCTTTTGGTTGAAATGTCTAAAATCTTTCTCTTAAAATAAATTATCAGGAAAAGAGGTTTCTCAAGCCCAGTAGCTGTTATCACTCTTTCCAGTATTGATGGAGGTTTCCTTTCTAACCTTTTGTTTGAAGTAGTGTGGAATATCAACATCTTGATTATGTCATTATTTTCTCTTTGAGTTACATGCGCTATCCATTTTAATTGTTTCTTCTATTGGTAGTCCTTAAGTTCTGTAGTTTCTTGTACAGGTGTTTGCTTGTGATTCTGTAGCGCCAGACCACAATGTTCAAAGAAGGATGATCTTTGGCAAGACACTCATGATTCAAATGCTCAAATCCTTTTTTCTTATAAATCAGCTGTATAGAGCTGATAGAAAACAAAGAAAGAGTAAGATTTAAGGAGGTGAAAGAGGGTGAAGAGATTAAATCCTTGCTCTCTTGATAATGAAGCTGAATACAACATGTTTTGTTGGAAAATAATCACTCATTTTCATTGGCATGGAGGGAATTTACAGGTACACAGGAAAAAAGACTATCCATAGAAATTGATGAATCAGTGGTTGACTCAGTTTGGCAAAACCACCAATGAAAACTCTCTTTGCCCTGTTTGCTGCTGGCCAGAGTTCTGGAACAATTTTACCAATGCCAAGTTCTTCAACAGCAGATCATGCAGAACTTGGAAAGAGTTGATTAGGAGGTTGGGGGGTGGAGGTAGATATGTTACCCACTCATTTCCAAGATTCCCCTGTCTACTTCTCACACATCATCATTCTTCACCTTAACCATTCCTACTATGTCTGAATCATTGTCTAATTTCCACATTTGTTTGTCCACTTCAGTACATCTTGTTCCATCATGACCCAGATTGTAGACAGTTTATAAGACCTCCCGTTGATTCTTTTTTTTTCTCAGCTTTACGTCTCACTCTTTCTTTATTTCTTTCCTCTCTTTCTTAATAATGCATTCTCAGGTGCATTTTATTTCATCAATTTGCATCTTTTTTTCTTCTTTTTCCTTTGCTCATCTTTTTCTTGTTTTTTTTTCTTTCTTCTCATATTTTTTAATCTTTCTTCTCCCCATATTTCATTTTCTTTCTTTCTTTCTTTCTTATATCTCTTTAATTCTTTGTCTGCTATTTTTCTTGCTTTTTTCTTCATCTTTTTCTTTTCTTCATCATTTCTTTGTGTCTTTTCTTTCTTCTCTCATCACTTTTTTCTTTATTTCTAGTTTCTTTCTTTTTTATTTTACTGCATATCCTTAATTCTTTTTCCTTCTTTTTTCTTTTAGTCTTTTTCTTTTTTTTCTTCTTCTCCTCATATCTATCTTCATTCTTCCTCTTTCTTTCTTTTCTTTTTTTTTCTTTCTTTACTACATCTCTTTAGCCATTTGTTTGCATCTTTTCTTTCTTTTTCCTCATCTTTTTCTTGCTTTTCTTTTTTCACCATCTCCACTCCATCTTTTTCTAACTTTTCTTTCTTTCTTTACTACATCTCTTTATTCATTTGTTTGCATCTTTTCTTTCTTCTTTTTTCTTGTAGTCTTTTTCCTTTCCTTATCTTTTTCTTGCTTCTTTTGATTTTTCTCCTTCTCCACTCCATCTTTTTTTTTCTTATCTATCTTTCTTTTCTTATCTATCTATCTTTCTTTCTTTCTTTTTTTTGAAACCTTTTGGGTGAAACCGGTTAGACAAAATTTTGAAATCTGTCAAGTGTTGTGTTGGCACAAAGTCACAAGTCACCAAGCCCAAGTGTTTGAGCATCCTTGCCTTAACTACTGATCACACCAGCTATTCAAACTCTCATCACAGAAATCATAAATATGGTCTGCTCAATCTATTTTCAGTATAATCCACAGGTTCTGTAGTTGTTGAAGAAACACAAATGTTGTTTTCTGTTTTCTTAATTCCTGTTTTTTTTTATTGTTTTCTCTCCTTAAAAATGTTTCTATTTTCTCATTTTCTTTTACACTCAGTAACCCCTTACATTTTAGTTGCTTTATGCCTTGCTTGGGATATAATGATGAAAAGTGATTGAGCCTCCAGTACATATTGCAAGACGGAAGAATAACAGATGAAGCAAAAGGTTGGTTAAATAATATCCTAAGGATAACAAACACAGAAGACAGGACAGGATATTGAGATGGGATAGTGGGGATTGTGATTAATTTTACTGGCCATCTATGCATTGAAGATTGCTTCCATATCTGGCCTGGTGCTCCTGCTATATATCTCAAGATTCCCAACAAAATACAAAGAAGGGTCTGGAATGTTATTCTTACTTTCCTGACATCTCAGTTTTAATCATTTTTCCACCAACATGATGTGATTACCTTCTGCCTTTTCTATAATTTTTTCATGGCAATTGTTCTAATCAGATTTCTTCATTGGTACCTTGACTGCATGAATTTAATGTACAAGTGGACTAGCTACTAGATCTCATCATTTTACTGTTGAAATAGCAAAATGTTCTATTCTAATAGTCTCTTTTCTTGCACTTCTCATCTGTGGAACTCTATTTCGGTTTCTTGCATAAAAAAAAAGGTTCTTGCTTCTTAAAAATTTCAATGATATATATATATATATATATATATATATATATATATATATATATTTAGAAAAAATATGACAAACTGAAAAATTTAATGTGACGCATTTCATCCATTAGAATTTCATCGGACATTTTCCAGTTTGTCATATTTTTCTAAATGCTGTTTATTGATATATAGAATTATACAAAATTACACACACACACACACATATTATATATATATATATATATATATATATATATATATATATATGTACATAGATGTAATACTATCAGAACAAGTGGCAAGAAATGAGATAAAGTAGAAAACACACACACTTATATATATGTATATACACACACACACACATATATGTGTGTGTGTGTGTATACATTTTGGCAGTATATCTTCATTCATGCATGTTATGTCTATTTATTTTCATTTTATTCCTCATAGTTTTGGTTACTTCTATTTTTTTTCCAAAGTATTTGCATTCTCATCCAAGATCATTTTCAGGAATGAATTGCTCTGACAAAAAATTGAAGTAATTGATACTTGTGATTTTTTTGTAAACGTGCATGAAGCACAGTCTGTTATAATTATAAATATGTATGAACACAATGTTATAATTATCTTAAAAATTAACTGTTAAAGCTATTATCAATTTTTTTAATCTTTTATCTAAGGGAGGTATCTTTAATTTATATAATTGAAATTTTTTTTATTATAATTTAAGTATTTTAAAAACATTGCTATTATAGACATTTTAAAACATTGTTGCTATGCTCATAACTAACCTTACTTAGCGTTGTTTGTATTTTTCTTATATAGAGGGCTTCAAAAAGTTTTTGTTTTATTTTCTTTGTGGAGTATACTTGTATTGTCAATTAATATTTCTGTAAATCGTGAATTCACAACTTAGAGAAATATTAGCATGTTTGAATATATATATATATATATATATGAAGAAATATAGTCTTAAGACGTGCTATATTTATAGGATAAAATCCTC